AAAAAACTATAGTCTGCCCTTCAACGGTCTGAGGGACAGTGAACTGGCCCCCCATTAAAAAATGTGAGGACCCCTGCACACAGACAATGGCCTCATTGACACAAAGACCATGAAAACTGTTCCCTCCGGGGATTACATCCACAGGTGGTGTTCATTCCCATACAGACAGGCCTTTCAAATCTGTGATCTTCCTAAAGGAAGCAGATGGACAGGTCTGTCAGTCAAGGTGTCTGTGTGTGGGTTTGAACCTTTTTGCCCAGTAGTTCAGCATTTAACCATTTGCTCCACCCAGGGACCCCTCTCCACAAGTATAAGGGCTTAGAGTTTACAACCTATTGTGGTAGGGGGCGGGGCAAAATTCAACAAATAACACTGTCAGTAAGACCAGGCCCCCAGGTGGCAAAAACTGTCATGGGCTCAACCACTAGCAAAAAGGGTTGGCAGTTCGCAACCACCCAGAAGCACTTAGGAAGAAAGTCCTAGCAATTTGCTGCTGAACGGTCGCAGCTATTGAAAACCTTCGGGGGCGGCTCTACTCTCCAGCAGGCAGTTTCCAAGAGTCAGAATCCACGGCGACGGAATCCCTGTTGCACGGAAATTAGAAGTGTAAGCTCGGAAGTTTCCATCTGCAGTACAAGCATAAGCACAGGCAGCAGAAGGGTCTCTGAGGACCTGTGGGGGCTGGGGGTGGGGGTAACTGTCGGACATCATGGGGTGTTTCTGCGAGCGGAAGTGACAGTTCCTCACTTCCGGTTAGGCAAGCCAGTCCCATGGCCTCGCCTGTCTGGGAACATGGAGGGGTGTACATGGACATCTGGGAAGGTCTCTCAGTCCCTGAGTGCTTTCAGTATCCTTACCTGGTCCCTTAAAAAAAAAACAACTTTAAAAACATAAAAGCCTGCTGTCGTCAAGCCGGACCATTCTCTTAAGTTTCTATGGGAACCAACTGCCTTGCCTTCCTCCCACGGAGTAGCTGGTAGGTCTGAACCACCAACCTTTCCGTGAGCAGCCCAAAGCCAAACCCACCGCACCACCAGGCGCCTCTGTGTGGCCCACAGCAACCACAAGCATTCAGACAAACCCGCCATCGTTGGGTTGATGCCCGCTTGCAGCGACCCTGTGGAACAGGGTGTAACTGCCCCGCGCCTTCATCGCCCAGGCTACAAATCTTGGGCCAAAGCAGACTGCCACGCCTGTCACCCGCGGAGTGACTGATGGGTTTGGATCGCCCACCTTTGGGTTAACAACCCACTGTGCCACTAGGACTCTTTGGTCCATAGTAGATACCCAATTAAATGATGTTGGGTGCGTGAGTGAAGATGCGCCCGGAAGGATAAGGGATAACCAGGCAGGAAGCTAAGGCTCGCCCATTTCAGCCTAGACAGCTTAGGTTGGCTATATTGGGGGCAACGCCGGTCCCACCCATTGGATGTCGCCAGAGAGCTGGGGCTGGCTGAAATCGGAGGGGATTTCCCCTCCTTGCACAGTGGGACATACCAAAGTCCCTCCCTTCTGCAGGACATCCCCAGGGTAAGGCTGGCTGGTCCCAGGCAGGGCGGGGCAAGCAGGTGCCCAGATCTTCCTGCGGTCCCCACCCCATCTCAGCCACCCACTGCCTCTTCCTCCTCCTAACCCCGCACTCACACGGTGGATGCTGAACCGGCTGAGGACGGTGATGGCCGACGAGGGCGCAGGCTGGCCCGTGTGGCGCCTGCCCTGGATGTCCCGGCGTTGCATCGGTGCCATCGGTGCCATCGGTATCAGTCTCCTTGGGGTGGCTATGGTTACCACCTGCTTCTGCCTCGGCTTCCGGAAGTCTCAGGACTCACAGGAGGTGAGTTAGGAAGGGAGGGTGGAGAGGCACCGCGTGGCCCTCAGTCCCCTGTCAGCTGTCCCAAGGAGGCCAGACCCAGGGGAGACGCTCGGTGGGGCTCAGCCTCAGGGGAGGGGGTGGGGATGAGGAGGAGAATCAGAGCGAGACCGGGGAATGTGGTGTCAAGAGCAGGCAGACAGCAGGCAGAAGAGTGAGACTCAAAAGTCAAATCAGGATGAAGTGAGTAAAAAGAGGCCAAAGAGGGCAGGCCGGTCTGGAACGCAGCAGTGTACAGCTGCCGGCATTGCTTGCCTGAGCGGAGGGCCCAGCACACGCAGATACAGGGGCATCCCAGGTCAGGGAGGCAAGAAGCTAAGCGAGGTTCATCGATCGGTGGGAGGCTTCGTGATGACTGGTTCTTGGGCGTTTCCCACAAGATGACTCACAAGTTTCCAGGGGCTTCACAGAGCTGAGAGGGGGGCTTCCAGGGCCTCCTCAGATGGAGCAGACACCCTGGGGACTGGCAGGGCATGGGAGTGGGGGCCTGGACACCCACTCAGCTTTTGAAAGGGGCACCCGATTATGCAAGCACACAAACAAGCAGAGGCACACGCCTCCCTCCCCCACCCCAGGTCCAGAAACTAGAAAGTTCATTGGAAGATCTGACCATCATGTTTACCTTACCCCCTGCTTCAGCCCCACTTCCTCTTTGGGTCTTGCGGAAAAACTAGGTCTCACTCAGTCCCCGCAGGATGAGAAGTGTCAACAAGGTGGGCACAGAAAAGAGGCTTATGACTTGGGGGTGGGTGGGAAGGAAGGGTGGGAACACAGGGGTAACTGGTACTTGACGGCTGTCCTCTTTTCTGGCCCTTGTCTTTCCTTCTAGCAGGACGTAGCTGAACTCCAGTTGAATCACACAGGTAACCTGGGGCTGGGGAGAGTGGGACAGAGAGGGAGGGAGAAGAAAAGAAGGGAGGGGAGAGAAAGGGGGAAGCAAGGAGCAGCAGGGGAGGGGAGGGGGCTTAGAAAAAAGAAAGGAAGAGAGGCAGACGTCTGTTCTTGGGTGTATAGGACCTTACTTCTCCACCTTGTAACTTCTCCCTTGGAAGAGTCTAAAACCACTAAAAGAGTTACATTACTAGGTATATTTATTGATAAGGAACCCTGGTGGTACAACGGTTAAGTGTTCTAACGAGTAACAGCAAGGTTGCTGGTTCGAATCCACCAGGTCCACCGCGGAGAGGACAGCTCAGGAAACCCTATGCGAGCAGTTCTACTTGGACAGCATCCAAGTACAGCCAATGCAATCGCTGCCACCTCTTCATTCATCCAAACCTTAGTGTATGTACGGGGAGCCAGGCTCTGCTCCAGGTGTCCAGCAGTGAACAAAACAGTCAAAAAACAAAACAAAACAAAACCTGCCCTGTAGAAGCTGCCCTTTGGTCAAGCAGGGGCAGGCCTTTGGTAAACGACCGGGCTACTCTTGTAGCATGTCAGGGATCAGGGGTCATGTGCGCTGTGGGTTTCTCGGAGGAAAAGGGAGAAGGACCGGGCATGCGCATGTTGGGGACTGAGGTTTCAAATGGAGTTATCCCCAAAGCCCTTTTAGAGACAGAGCCTTCGGAGCCAAGTCCTGAAGGGCAGGACAGGAGAATAAGGGAGTGGCATTGGAGTATCAGTGGAGACAACGCCCCTCCTTCCCAGCTTCTGTCTAACCCTCGTCCTTCTCTGCTACTACACCTATTTCCAGGGGCCAAAGTCCCAGAAAGTCGGAAAATTCTGTTCATTCCATTTTGACAAGTGGGCTTCGGGGCTGGGGAGGTGGGAGGGGCTGTTCCTCTGCCTTTCGGCTCCTCCCCCCATTGGGATTCTTACCCTCCACCCTTCTGATTCTATAACCACCCGCTTTTATACCTTTTTCTCCTCTCTATCCCTCCATTTTCCCACAATCCCTCCTCTTATCTCTGATGCCTCCGCTCTGTGATCTCCACTTCCAGTCTCGCTTCTCTGGCCCTGGGGCTCGCTGACCCTCTATTCTGCTTTCTCTGTGACTCCCATTTCTGATCTCTTTTCCCTTTTTGTCAGTCTTCCTTCTCCACCATGTCTTTGTTCCCTCCGCTCCCTTTCCTTCCTTCTCCCTGCCCTACTTGTCTATTTTTCTCACTGACCTTCTGGACCAGTGATCTCTGTACAGAACGTCCGCTTCCTCTCTTTGGTCTCCGGCTCTTTAGATCTCACTCCCTGACTTCTATCCTCCTGTCTCTATGACCCCCATGTCCTGTCTCTCTTTCTCACAGTCACGCGCACCCTTTGCATAACTGACAGTGTGTCCTATGTCCCTGATGCTCTATAGTCCTACCCCTCCAGCCTCTATGCCTCCTTGATCCTCAGTTTCTCTAAATCTCTACCCCCAGGCCAGCAATGGGACCCCAATCTACGCTGGCAGGCGGGCCCAGCACTGGGCCGCTCCTTCCTGCACGGGCCCATGCTAAAGCACGGGCAGCTGCATATCCAGCACGATGGCATCTACAGGCTGCACATCCAGGTGACGCTGGCCAACTGCTCATTCCCCCGGAGGACCACACCCCGCAAGCCCTCGCTGTCTGTGGGCATCTGTGCCCCCGCCACCCACAGCGTCAGCCTGATTCGACGCAGCTTTCACCATGGCTGCACCGTGACCTCCCAGCGCCTGACACGCCTGGCCCGGGGAGACACGCTCTGCACCAACCTCACGGTGCCGCTGCAGGTGTCCAGCAATGCTGACGAGACCTTCTTCGGGATTCAGTGGGTGCACCCCTGACCCCCACCCCTGCTGGCATTTCCTTCTGTGTTTCTTGTTTACATTGCCATTATCTGCTGCTGCTAGAACAAAGTCCGTTTGTATTATAATCTTTTATTTTACTTGTTTGTCCTTACAGGGTGCAGTGCTTTAACAGCTGTTTGGGAAACGGCTGGTGCATTTGTACCCATAGACCCATAAGGTTTGGGGCCCATTAGGAAAATATCCCTTAATAAAGTGATTTTTTTTTTTAAAGAGGAAAATAGATCTCCTTTTGTTTATGGTGCTGGTGGCATAGTGGTTCAGCGTTGGGTTACCAACTTGAAGGGCAGTGGTACAAACCCACCCACCCTTTCACTCCCATAAAGACGGCCATCTCGGAAACCCACAGGGGCAGTTCTATCATGACCCATGGGTTGAAAGGAGTTGGTACCCACTCGATGGCAGTGAGGTTTTGGGGGACTAGATTTCAGGCCTCCAAATGAAGACTCGGGCAACAGGGTGGGATACAGGCATGGAACACAGAGCACACGGCTCTCTCTGGACAAGGGCTCTGGGACTTTGCCAGTGGGCAAGTCGCAAGGGTGGCAGAGCTCTGGCTGCTCCTGGTGTTCAGGCTGGTGGGACATAGGGCAGGGCTGGGCATGCTCAGTGCCTTTTTCCCTGGCATGGACACCCTCTTCTTTCTCTGCTACCCTCTCAGCCACAGTCAATGCCGGCACCAACCCCTGCAGCCTCAGCTAGCCACTCGGGATCGACCGCAATGAAGGCGACTGGAAGTGGGTTCCCCTGAGGTTTTCTTTTCTTTTTCTGATTTTTATTAATTGATTGATTTTACCCCTAAGGTTTGCATACGGTGCTTGCACAATGTCCAAATCACATAGCATCCTATCTCACAAAAGGCATCCTGGATGTTAAGTAACACCTATTTCCAGATATATAACCCACACATATAACTCATATGTAAATATATACAACCAACTCTGTGTGTGTGTGTGTGTGTGTGTGTGATGATATTGTGCTGGTTGAATGTCTCCAAGCTCACATTTTCCACAAGTCAAACCTCAAACTTCAAAAAACAACCTGCGCGGTATTCATCATTCTGCTTCCTTTACTAGGAGATCTTGGCCTAGCTCATGAAAGCAACATGCCTTGTGTTTGCTTGTTTGTTTGTTTGTTTTCATATATAACAAACAACAGGTGAAGGTTTACAGGGTAGAATGAACGGTCATACACCTGGTTCAACTCATCATTGTTATCCCCTCTATAGACCGTTGCTGCTCCAACTTAACTCCCTGTGCTTCCTGATTCCACTCCTCCATCTTGCCTCACCCTCTGAACTTTGGCCACGGGTAAAGGCTCCCCTTTCAGTTCTTAAATGATGCACTGTCCTAACACTAGGTATAGGGCCACTCTTGTAGGAGTCTCATTACTCTCTGTGCAAACAGTAAACCTGATCTCACGGATGCTAGTGACTGTGATGGTGCAACTGAGACCAATTGCCTTAACAGAAGCCTTTCAGTTTGTACAGAAGTATTTGAAGCACCCACTCCCACTCCCAACCCCGGCCCCCAAACGCCACAAAGAAGGGAGGGGGATATAGTAGGGGATCATGGCTATCCTTAAGGAAATGGGTTTTTGTTTGCTTTCCATTGTATGTCCACTGAGAGCCCACCAGTCGGCTCCCTGAAGCAACAGGAATCTTGGAAAACGTATTTAAGAGCACATTCAAGGGGGCTTCAAAGAGTTCATGGAATGATAAGATCATGGATTTTTTCCATAAACGTTTTAAAGCCCCCCCCCCCTTTCCTGGCATGCAGTTTATTTCGTCAAAGAAACATTTACACTCTAGCCCAACCAATCAGTGTAAGTCCTTGTTTTGCATGGCAGCCACGTGAAAGACTCCTGGTGTGGAAGCAGACCCTCTGGGCTGGGTGGCTTTGGTCACGTCCTGCCTTTCAGCAGCTGGCCAAAGAAGCATTTGCTGGTGAAAAACAACAGAAAGAGGAAGGAGTGGGGCCCCTGCCGGTGCTCCCAGGGCTGATGGTCCATGCTGCTCAGGCTTTGCCCAGGCATGTTTGTCTGTTATCAGACTCACCCATCTTGGTGATGTGGGTTTCTTTACTATATTTTGTAACTGTGAATTCAGAGAATTATAGGTGCTGTGGGGGTGGGGGAAAGACATTTAAGGGTGTGGGTCATTACAGAAGCAGGCTGACACCTCCCAGGCTGCCAGTATCATAGATATAGATATGGATATAGATGATATTGATATAGATATGGATATGGATATGGATGTAGATATAGATTATAGATATAGATAGATACACACACATATATATACATATAGCATATATATGTAATGTCATCTTGTCAAAGATCTTGTCAAAGATCTTCCTCTGTTTCACTGCCCCCTACCAAGTCATTCTCCAAGGACTGGCCTCTCCTGAGAACATGTTCCAAGTGTGTAAGAAAACGTCTCGCCACCCTGGCCTCTGGGGAGCGTTCTGACTGTACTTCTTGCAAGACAGACTTGTTTGTTCTTCTGACAGCCCGTGGTTCTTTGAAGATTCTTTGGCAGAACCATCCTTCAAATGCACTGATTTTTCTTCTGTCTTCCTTAGCCGATGTCCAAATGTCACATGCCTATGAGGCCATTGATTAGGTGCCAGTGTAAGTGGCTCGTTGTCTCTATTTAGAGATGCTGAATAACTTCCGGTGTTGTGTACCAGTGGCTAGACGATGATGACCGATGCGTTGACTTCATGACAGTATGATTCTCAATGGTTTGGCTGACCCTGGACTGATTGCTCTTCCATAGGAATATACCGTAATCATCTTTGTGATGGAATGATCTAAGGAAATCCACCAATCCATTATAAGGGCAGTTTCCTCAGGAATGTGACCCGCATCCAATATCTAGGCTATTCGGGGGGGAAAGCTGCTAGGTTCTGCTCTTGATCCTATATCAAACTTGTCATGATCCAATGTCCTCTTCTTGTGCTTTCTTCATCCATGCTGTTCTGGATGTCCACCCACAACTCATTGTCAGGACGGAGTCAGGTGGGCAAATTGAAGGGCCCCCCTTCAAAGCAGAAAACTGGCCAAACGGAGCCAAGACGGAACAACGCGGCTCAGGTTCTGGTACACAGAGCCCCGCAAGAAGCTAACAAACTATTCTCAGGAAGGCTTGCAACACCTGCTGCCTTGGACGGTTTCCGCACCCCCCAGGCACCTTCTTTTAAAAACCCTACACCCTGACCACCTGGTGCGACTTCCCTGGGCTCCTTTCTGCCCCTGGAACCTTGCCTGGGAGCGTCCCTCTAATAAAGCTGCTTCTGTTTCTGCTCTCCCTTTGTCCTGTCGGTTATGTTTGCTCGCCTCCTTGTGCCTCAGTTCAGCTTACACTCACGAGGTCGTCTGTCATTAGTGTTCATTGCATCAAATCTGCTCTCGGGATGTTCTCAAACTGCAGGTGGGTTAGACCCAAGGTCATATTTTGGCTCTCATGGATTTGTTTTCATTGTCTGTAGCTTTCTCCTGAACGTACCTAGGAGCAATGGTGGTCTGCCCCGCAATCCTCCCCTGGCCTAGTTTTAGCTGCTGTTTTTGAGCTTCTCCGTCATGTCTTTAATCTGATTTCTGTGTATTCCATCGGGGGAATCCCATGTGTAGAGTCAACTTTTGAGTTGGTGAATAAAGGGGTTTACTACAAACAGGTCATGGACTTTGCAAAATTCTGTCATGTGATCCCCAGCTTTGTTTCAGCAAAACGTCATTAAAAAGCCCAGAACGAAAGGAAAGACCAAAGTGGAGGTCAGACGAGACTCTGAACCTCGCTCTTCATTGTAGACTAGCTAAAGCAAATAGAATAAAGGATGGCGTGAAAGAGCTGGAGAGAAAATCTCAAAGGGAAGCCCAATATTACAATGAAATGTGCCAAGGCCTAGAATTAGAAAACCAAAAGGGAAGAGCACGCTCAGCATATCTTAAGTGGAAGGAATTCAATAAGGTATTCAAGCCTCGAGTTGCAGCATTGAACGATTCTATGGTCAAAATATTGAATGATGCCGCTATCATCAAAAGTCGATGGGAAGAACACACAGAGTCACAGTACCAGAAAGAACTAGTCGACAGTCCACCGTTTCAGGAGGTAGCACAGAAGCAAGAACCAATGATGCTGAAGGAAGACGTTCAAGCTGCAATGAAGGCATTATCCAAAACATAAGAATTCAGAAATTGATCAAATGAAATATTTCAATTGAAATACTTCATCAAGCTGACAAAGAGCTGGAAACACTCACTCTTCTAAGCTAGGAAATTTGGAAGGCAGCTACGGGGCCAACTGACTAGAACCGATCCATTTTTGTACCCATACCAAAGAAAGGTGACACAACAGAATTCTCAACGATAGAACAATATCATTGATATTGCACTCAAGTAAAATGTTGTTTAAGATCATGCACAAAGGATTGCAGCAGTCGTACATTGACAGGGAGGTGCCAGAGGGTTAGGCCTGATTCAGAAGGGCATATGGAACAAGGGATATCATCGCTGATGTCAAATGGATCTTGGCTCAGAGCAGAGAATTCCAGAAAGATGTTTACTTGTGTTTTATTGACTATGCCAAGGTATCTGACTGGGTGGGCCATAACAAACGATGGGATAACCTTGAGAAGAATGGGAATTTCAGAGCCCTTCCTAGTGTTCCTCTGGGACTTGTACATGGATCAAGAGCCAATTGTGCAAACAGAACAAGGGAAGGATGCGTGCTTTCAAATCAGGAAAGGTGTATGCCAAGGTGTATGTGTTCCCTTACCAGATTTTTTCACTCAGTATGCTGAGCAAAAACAATCAGAGAAACTGGCTTCTGTGAAGAAGAGTGTGGCATCAGGATTGGAGGAAGGCTTATTAACCACCCGTGATATACAGAGAACACAACTTGCTTGATGAAAGCGAGGAGGACGTGAAACACTTGCTGATGAGGATCAGGGATTGCAGCCTTCGATACAAATTACAAT